GTGTATGTGGCTGGTGCCTTAGCTGCTTGAGCTGTAGGTGCCAAGCCTACAAATTAACTTTTAAAATAACTTGTCAAGGGGGAGACTTGTGCCAGCCATCACCACGAGGTGTCCTGGCTATGCCATCTCTCCTACCTTGGCCATGATGAGTAGCAGACAATGGGTAAGGCCAAGGTCTACCATTCAGCCAGTTCATTGGTATGGTTGGGCTTAGCATGTGAGTGCACATAAGAGTGAAGTTCTCTTCTTACTGCGGTATGAGAGGAAGATTGTGTGAGTGGCAAGGCTACTATTGCCTGGTTACTGCATTTGTCTCATCCTTAATTTCCCCATGTCTAATATCTTTGCTCCTCTGATCCAGATTAAACGTTGAAGCTAGATAGGGCTTTTTGAGTCATGACTCTGATTCTGATGATGCTTTGCTTAAAATCCTTCAATAGCAGTGGCTCACACCTGTACTCCTAGCACTTTGGGAGGCTAAGGTGGGAGGATCACTTGAGGTCAGGATTTGAGACTAGCCTGAGCAAGAGCCAGACTCTATTTCTACTGCAAAAAAAAAAAAAAAAAGAAAAAAAGAAAAATTAGCCAGGCATAGTAGTACATGCCTGTAGTCCCAGCTACTTGGGAGGCTGAAGTAGGAGAATTGCTAGAGCCCAGGAGGTTGAGGTTGTTGTGAGCTATGATGATGCCATTGTACTCTAGCCTAAGCATCAGAGCAAGACCCTGTCTCCATTAAAGAAAAAAATTCTTCAGTGACATTCCATTACATTGTCTTCTGATAAGAAGGTCTAAGAAGATCCAAAAAACTTCTTTTAAATCGGCCCATGCCTACCTCCCTTCTCCTTTCCCACCCCACCTATTAATTGGCCTGCTGAGCTCCCTTGCCATTTTTAGACCATGGCACTCTACCACTTCTCTAACTTTGTCCTCTCCTGGGCCTTTTCCTGACAAGGTCCTTGTATCCTTTGAGAGCCAGCCACATGTCATGGTCTCTTGGAAGGTCTTCCTGATTGCCCTACTTGTACATGGGGTTTTTGTTACCCTGTTTGTGCTGCTTTCATATCAGTTATTGCTGATATTGTAGTTATGTGTTTAAATATCATCCCAGTGCCACCACCCATGAATTCTTTGAGGTTGGAGACTTTAATTTCCTATCGTCTGTAAAAAATTTGGTGCATTTATGTGGAAAATCTTGAGGGGATAAACCTGTTTTCAGCACCAGTAGGAATTAATAATCTTGCAGTCTATTTGCTGTGTGTTGTCATAAATGGTGAGGCAGAAGATCCAGCTTTCAAAAAGGCTTTATTAGAAGAACTTTTATCTCCTGATCTAAAATTCATCTGATTTATTCTAAAGTTTGCTAGCTTGTTAAGATCGATAAAATCTTTTGATTATATCTTATCTGTTTATTTTCTAGGCTGTGTGGATGCCTGGGAGCCAAAAGTGTTACGGGCAGGTATGGGTGCACATTTCCAGGTGCCCATTATCAATAATCTGGAATGGGAAACAGTGCCGAATTACCTGCCCCCAGACACCCGGGTCTACGTGGCTGACAACTGTGGCCTTTATGCTCAGGCCCAAATGTCTGACAAAGCCAGTGATCGTGGCTCAGTGTGTGATCGGCGATACCTGAAGTTTCACAGGTATGAGGAGGAGGAAGATCTAGAAACTGGAGCCAAGAAAAGCTGGCTCCCTAAACTTGAAGTTCAGAGTTACGACATGGACTGGACAGAGGCACCAGCAGCTGTGGTGATTGGTGGTGAGACTTATGGTGTGAGCCTAGAGTCCCTGCAGTTGGCTGAAAGCACGGGGGGCAAGAGGCTGCTCATCCCCGTTGTACCTGGTGTAGATAGCCTGAACTCAGCCATGGCTGCCAGCATCCTGCTTTTTGAAGGGAAAAGACAACTACGGTTAAGGGTGGAACACTTGAGCAGGAACAGGAGTTAACTGCTGAGAGGGAAACACAGAAATGAATTCTTGGTTGAATGGATGTCTCCTTCTCCAGCACATTGTTAGGAAGCTGGCAGTGCCTTCCTAAGCTATGTTCAGGAGGCAAGAAGAAGGTTGTCAGAAAAATAAAAATTCCCATGAATTTCTGCTATTCTTCAAATATAACATAGCCAGGCGTTGTGGCGAGCACCTGTGGTCCCAGCTACTTGGGAGGCTGAGGCAAGAGAATCACCTAAACCCAGGAGGTGGAGGTTGCTGTGAGCTGTGATGCCATGGCACTCTACCAAGGGCAATAAAGTGAGACTCTGTCTCTAAAAAAATAAATAAAAGAAGTCAAAATTCTTCCTGAGATCTTCCATCTGTTTGCCAATTTTGATGTTCTTTTTTTTAAAAAAAAATGATAACAAATAAATGAGATCCCTGTGGCTCTCTCTATATTTTTTAAAGGTCTGCTAAGAGCACTCTGTGCCCAGAAAGTTCTCAAGGTGTTTGTCTTGGGTGGGGAGGAATTCCCTCCACCAGTTGGTGGGTATTTTGTTGTCATCAAGCACTAGTTATAGGTCACGGCCAAGTTATGTCTGACTAATTGGTCAGTGGAAAATAAACTCCTATGAAGTGCAGAGCCAGCAGATTACATTAATGTTTTATTTAATGGTGGTCAGTGGGTCTCAGTTCCTGTGTTTTCACCTTTGGCTGGTGATGAGGATGTTGCTAAGGGATTAATAACTCAGCAAGCTAAGTGCTGCAAGCGTGGCATTCAGTAGCTAGCTGTCCTATCAGCTTAGGTGTGTCAGTCTGGGATTTGCTATAGCCTTCACTTAAGCTACTGTTTATAATCTGTAGAAACAACTTATTTCAACAAGTGGTATCATACCTTAGCACCTCTACAGATAGCTCTACAGAGAACTCTTCATGCAGGAAAAGAAGAAACTGAGTTTTAAAAATCTTTCCCTTGGGTGATGCCTGTGGCTCAAAGGAGTAGGGTACCGGCCCCATATGCCAAAGGTGGTGGGTTCAAATGCAGCCCTGGCCAAAAACTACAAAAAAAAAAAAAAATCTTTCCCTTAACCCTGCATTCTGTCAGGAAAGCATCTGTTTTTATTAGCTCCCTCCTGTTAGTCCTGCTCTGTTGTCACTTTTGGTTAAATGTAACAAAGTACTTATATTAACCCTCTCCACCCCTAAAGAGGAACAGAACTGCTTAGGAAAGTACTGGCGTTCCTGGATGCTATGTGAACAGAGAAATCCTGTGAAGGAACGTTCTGAGGATGAGAGTTTGGGGCTTTCAGGCCCACAACACTGGGGCAGGACCCTGCTGCTCTCTCAACCCCCCCAGGGGACCAGGACAAACTGGATCCTTACTTACCAGGTGCCTGGCAGGCTACAGCCAGGGATGTGAGGCTGGTACTGATGGTAGTCACTGTATTTACAAGTATCTGTGGGAAAGGGGTGGGTGGACAGGAGTATGGGGTTCATTTTAAGCACTGTTTTTTGCAACCACAGGAATAGTTGGAGTTGAGGATGACACCAGAAGTGTTTACCACACCCCTTCTGTACAGTGGCTTCTCTAATGGTTTGGGTTCCTTGGGAGTCTTTTAGGTGCTTGTTCTAGGGAGGTCAAATGAGTTGTCATTATCACCTGGGAAACCATCCCCCCCCCTTCCCATTCCTCCCTTCTGTTCCCCAAGTAAACGTTCCTCTTGGAAGAACCAAATGATCAGTCATGAGTCATGTCCTAAGGAATAGGGTGTGGGATTGCTTGGCATGTTTAAGGAGAGGGTTGGCTGTATCCCCCATGGCTGAGTCCCCTGAACCTCTCCTCTAGTGCCCCTACTCTGGTCTTAGCCTACCCAGAGCCCCACATGTAGAGTTGATGCAAGTGGCCCAGCAATTATTCTTAAGACTGTACCCCCAGTCAAGTTTTAGAAAGTAGAGGAGTTGGCTCAGTGCCTGTAGCTCAAGTGGCTAACGCGCCAGCCACATACACCAGAGCTGGCGGGTTTTAATCTAGTCCAGGCCTGCTAAACAACAGTGACAGCTGCAACCAAAAAATAGCCAGGCATTGTGGTGGGCGCCTGTGGTCCCAGCTACTTGGGAGGCTAAGGCAAGAGAATCGTGTAAGCCCAGGAGTTGGAGGTTGCTGTGAGC